TTTTTTTATTTTTTTTAATTCCAGATATTTAAAATTAATTATGTGTTTTTTATTATTAAAAAGTAATTAAAATTTGTATTTCTATTTTATCCCTATTTTAAGAAGATAATTATAAAAGTATTAAAATAAAAATGTCTATTTAAATATAAGAGGAAAGGATGAATATGAAATTTTAAGAATTACTGTTATTATAAAATTAAAGTATTAAATGATATTTATTTTTTATTAATAAAAAAGCCAAGTATGTTTTTTAAACAGAGGGAGTACCATAATATACACTACCCACTGTATCAAATGAGTTTGAGCCCATGCTGCGATTATACTTTTAAAAAAATTGTAATTTTACCATTTAAATTACAAAGTTAAAATTATTAAATAAGAGATAACACTTACATCTTAAAGGCTTATTTTATATTTAATAATTTAAATTATACAATTTAATACATTTTTTATTAAATATTACATTTATGTTTAAGTAAGAAAATGAAAAATCAAAAAGGGCACATTCATTTCTCGCTCTCCAAATCTCAATTTTTACCTGTTCAAAAAAATTCGAAAAAAACAGAAGGCTCGTATGAAATGACGAGAAAAGTATACCCCTTACCTTTTAAATTTATTAGAATCACCTCTTGTATTTTTTTTTTTTTTTAAATTTAGATCACTCTTTTACTTTCTTATCGATTGAAATCCATAACGTCCAAATCACTGCTTATTACTTTTGGTGGGGTTTCTACATAGCTTCTTAGAAGAGTATTCATGACCATTTCAAATAGCATGAAGACTTAGTCTACCAACTGAAAGTGAAAGAGGCATGGAAAGAAACGTGTTTTGTAGTGACTTGGACACTATGGAATTAGAGAAATCAGATGCTATGGAATTAGAGAAATCAAAAGATATTTCAACAAGATTTGAATTTATAGAGGATGAGGTCCTGGATCTTATCAAGTACAGATCATATGCATGGCTAAAGGCTAAGTGTCATGCAAAACTAGATTTGTAGGTGTGGAAACTCAGTCCCAAGCAAGCAA